TATTTTACAAATGAGGAAACTGAGGCAGACAGATATTAAGTGACTTGCCTAGAGTCACACAGCTAATATGTGTCTGGGGCTAAATTTGAACTCACCTTCTTGATTCCAGGTCTAATGCTCTATAACCATTATGCCACCTCATTGGCTCAGTTGGACATAAGATGTCTAGCCATCTTGCCCTTTTGTAGTTGATGTCTTGAACCTAAGTGAAAAACTATATGTATCCTTATTATATTTCAGATTATTCAATTCTGTAGTGTGTTCTGGCCTGTTGAGATCCCTGCAGGTCTTGTTTGTGTCAGCCAACACATTAATTCCTCATCACACTTTCCTGTAATCTGTAAATTAGATAAATACATCAGCTGTGCCTTCATCGGAGTCATTGATTGAAATGTTGACCAGCACAAGGCCAAGGGCAGAAGTACCAGAGTAATCCTCTGTGTTTACATCGGTCTATTAACCTCTATGTATTTAGATCAGTCTTTGAATGAGTTCTCAATCTGCTTAGCATTGAACCCAGATATCTCCAGATCCCCTCAGAATAATTTACATTTTAAAAATAATGAATTTTTTTAGAATAATGTACATTTTTACAAGCCCTTTGCAGTTTATAAAGTGCTATCAGCAAGTCAATTCCTCTCAAGCATCTTATGTGACTGGAATTCTGTGCTAGGCATTATGAGAAGCCCAAAGTTCTGCTTAAGTTTCTGCCCTTAATTCAAATCAATTCAATTAAATAAATATTATTAAGTACGCTATGTGTCAGGTCCTGTGCTAAGTGCTAGAGAGATACAAAAAGAGGCAAAAGGCAGTCCCTGCCCTCAAAGAGCTTGCAATCTAGTGGGAAACAAATTCCCTCTACCAAGCTGTCTCTCAATAAGGACAAAGACAGGAATTGTCAAAAATAACTTTGGTATTTTTCTACCTATGGAATAATCAGTCATTCTAGCCATATACAAAGCAAGCTATATGCAGGATGAAAAGGAAATACTTAGAAGATGGGAAACACTGGAATTAACAGGGTAGGTGAGGTTTCCTGTAGGAGCTGGGATTTTAGTTGGGTCTTGAAGGAAGACAAGGAGGTCAGTAGTTGGAGGAAGGAGGGATGCCAGAGAAAATGCCCAGAGCCAAGAGATGGAGGGTATTATTTATGGAAGAGACAGGAGGCTAGTATCACTGGATCAGAGTATGTGTCAGGGAGGAAGATGTGAGAAGACTGGAAAGGGAGGAAGAGGCAGGTTATAAAGGGCTTTGAATGCCAAGAGAGGATTTTGTATTTGTTCAACATTTTAGGAGACAAGACACAGGCATCATCTCATTTAAGCCCAATTGTACCCCAAGGAGGAAGATTTGGCAAGGGGTGGCATCCCCTGTTCTGTAAGAACCAGGTTCAGAGGGTGTAAGTAATTTCAAATGGTTACTAAGTTATGGAGCCTGGATGAGAACCCAGTTGCTCTAGATTCCAAGTCCAGCATACTTCTGACTTACCCCACCTACCTCAGTCTGACAGTGGTCATTCTCTTGGCTAAGAAGACATCCAAAATCAGTAGATATTTTTAGGGTACTCCACTTTCTTGATCACAAATGGGGCTATATATACTCCTCTATAATACACACACACACACACACACACACACGTATACACGTGTACATATGTTCCTATATAGCACACTTTCCCTTTGCAACCTTGGAAGCTAGAGGTAGTGAATGCATTATTGTCCCCATTTTGTGGATGGGGAAACTGAGGCACAGAAAGATTCTGTAATTAGCCCAAGGCTGCATAGCAATGAAGCATTAGAAGGAGTCAAGCTCATCTGTTTTATAGCCAGCAGGACAGAGAGCTGGGGCCCTTTACACATTTGTGGGAGTTACACATTTATAGAGAGCTTTAAGGGTCACCAGTCAACAGTTACCATAAAAAAGACCTGAGGGTTTGAGGGGACAGCAAGCTTAAGATGAACCACCCTGGTCATCTCAAAGTGAAGCAGGGGGCATCACTTTTGCCCCATGAAGGCCTGCAGGTGAAGGATGGATGGGTGATCCCTTCTCAGTTACACTATAAATGGAACTCTATTCAGTTATTAGTTGGACTAGATCAAGAACTCTTAACCTGGGGTCCCTGAGGAGGTTTCCAGGGGTCCAGGAACGAGATGGGAAAAGAAAATGACATCCTTCCCACTACTTCCTACCACTAACCTCTAACTAAAATTTAGCATTTTCTTCATTGATGTAAAATGATGATTCTAAAAGGGGTCCTTACAGAGGCTACCCCAGACTGCCCAAGGGGCCAATGGGAGAAAAAGGTTAAGAATCTCTGGGCTCGATGGTTGCTGAGGACCCTATGCCCCTGGACAATTTATGCCTCTAGGATCTAGGATAATTGTTACTCAGGATTTTTGCTGAAGCGACTGACTACCACAGACAGGCTCCCTGCTAGGAGCCGCAGCCAGCACAGTGCCAGAAAAGGTGGCAAACACTTTAAAAAGATTTGTCAGGTGATTGGTAATGGCTACAGTTTAAATATTCAACAAGGCAATCACGCAGTCTTCTGGCACGGGAAGCTTCTTTGTGACAGCCAGAATCTCCCCCAGGGACCCACAGGCTGCTATCATTGCAAGGGCGGGAGTCACGGATTTTAAGAAGCCCCTCCCTGCTCAAGACCTCACTGTGGTATGGACTCACCAGCCAGTTCTGGGTTCCCAGTGGCCATGCCAATTGTGGGCAAATTTCAATGTGTGCTCCCAAGCTACAAACTGGCAAGTGTGGTCTGGCCACAGCCCATGTGCCTGCTGTTCAAGGATTAGCCCGGCCAAGTGTGAAAAGGGACTCATCACTCCATCGGAGGCAAGGAATGAATTTTTCAGCCACAAAACCTCTAAAATCCTTATACTAAGTCATACTGGGTGAGGCCTATGGCAGGGAGGGAAGACCCAGGACACAATATAGAAACTGTGGCCTGTTGGACTGAAGGAAGTTGCTCAGAGATGAACCCAAAGAATAAGTTTAACCTGGGTAGGGGCGTGCCCAACACTAATTAAATATAATTACATTTGTCAATTTAGAGCCATTCCTGACCAAAGACAGATACCAAGTCTGGAAACTTTGCCTCAACTGTCCTTGCAGAATCAACTAATTCAGTTCAGTTCAATTGTGTTGCACTCAATTCAATTAGACAACTATTTATTAAATGCCTACTGGGTGCCGTGCATTATGCCAGTAGGTCAATCAATCAGTAAGCCTTTATTAAGTACTTACTATGTACTAAGCAGTATGTTACATGCTAAAGACCAAAAAAACAGTCCCTGCCTTAAGAAGTTTACATTTTAGTCCTGGGGTGTTGGAGGGTTTCAGAGACCATAAGTATAGAAAGAAACAAAGAAACAAAAAAAGCAACCAAGCAAACATACAAAATAAATAAAAATTTGTATGTGTGTATAGGATGGAGCTGTAGGGAGGTGATAATCATAATAATAGCTAGCATTTATATCACATTTTAAGGTTTGCAAAGTGCTTTACAAATATTTCATTTGAATCTCACGACAACCCTGGAAGGTAGGTACTATTATCATCCTGATTTTACAAATCAGGCTGAGGCATGCAGCTGTTAAGTGATTTGTCCAAGGTCACACACAGAGTGTCTGAGGCTGGATTTGAATTCAGCTCTTCCTGACTCTGAATTCAGTGCTCTACCCACTGTCCCATCTAGGGTTAGAATTAACAAGTAGGGAAATCAGGAAAAGCCTGATATGGGAGGTGGTATTTGAAGAGCTCTAGGGCTTCCAAGAGTGGTGCTAGGTGGCACCATAGTGGATAGGGGGCCAGACCTGGAGTCAGGAAGATGAGCCTTCTTGAGTTCAAATCTGGTCACAGACAGTTACTGGCTGTGTGACTCTGTTTGCCTCAGTCTCCTATCTGGAATGTGAGCTGGAGAAGGAAATGGTAAACCACTCCAGTATCTTTGCTAAGAAAACCCCAAATGGGGTCACAAAGGGCTTCCAAGATGTAGAAGTGTGGGTGAGTCAAACCTAGAGTTTATGAAGATCAATGAGAAATAAGCCCGGGGAAGAGGCTGGAGCCAAATGTTAAATAGTTTTTAATTCTAAACAAAGGGTTTTGCATTTTATCCTAGACAAAATCAGGAGTTCCCTAAATGCTTTGGTCATATCCATGCTTTTAGAAATTTGCCTTGGGTGGGGGGGCAGCTAGGTGGCACAGTGAATAGAACTCTGGCCTTGGAGTCAGGAGGACCTGAGCTCAAATCCAGCCTCAGACGCTTAACACTCACTAGCTGTGTGACTCTGGGCAAGTCACTTAACCCCGATTACCTCACCAAAACAAACAAACAAACAAACAAACAAACAAAAAGAAATTTGCCTTGGCAGCTGAGTGGTGGATAAATTGGAGCAGGGGATGGGGGTGGGGTGGGAGAGATTTGAGGCAGTGAGACCACTTATGTGGCTACTGCAATAGTCCAGGCAGGAGGACAGTAGGGCCTGAATTCGGGTTGTGGTTGGGTAGGTACAGAGGAAGGGTTGAATGTGAGACATATTGTGGAGGAAAAATGAGCAGAACTCTGCAAATGATTTTTACTAAAATATGAGCTCCTTGAGGGCTGGGTCTGTGTTTTGCCTTTCTTTGTATCCCCAGCACTCAGCACAATGGTTGCATGTAGTAAGTGCTTAATAATACTTGTTAATTGACTGATTGACCAGTCATGAGGAGAGTAAGGCATTAAGGGAAACTCCAAGGCTTCAGGTCTGTGTACCTGGAAGGATGGTGGTGCCCTTGATAGAAACAGGGAAGTCTGGAAAAGGATGGCGGTGAGGGTGGAGGGTGGAGCACGAGCTCTGCTTTGGCCATGCTGAGCTGGAGATGCCACCACTTACTAAAACTGATGTTTTCTTGTCTTCCTGTCCCCAGACACTGTGGTCACCACTATTCTTTTTTCAGTTATTTCAGCCATTAGGAGTTAGAAACTCTTTCTGAGGAAGAATGAAAAGATGGAAAACCCCTTTGGCTCCCTGGAGACAAACAACTTCCGCCTTTTTACTCCTGAATCTCTGGCTGCCATTGAAAGGCTAATTGAGGAGGGGAAACATCAGAACAAGGTGAAGGAGAAGGAGCATGAGGAGGAGGAAAAGAAAGAATCAAAGGCCAAAGCTGAGAAGCCCCGACCCCAGCTAGACCTAAAGGCCTGCAACCAGCTGCCCAAGTTCTATGGCGAGCTTCCCCCAGAATTGGTGGGGGAGCCTCTGGAGGACCTGGACCCCTTTTACAGAAATCACAGGGTAAGAGCCAAGGCTCTACAGCCTGACTCAGGTGGTGGTTTTGTGCTTGTACTGACACTGCCCACCTCTTGGACTGGGGGACCCAAGGGTCTGGCCACAGGCTGTTTGGTCCCCATTGCAGAGCTTTTGACCCCATTTCCTGTGACCCAAAGCTTTTGTGATAGAGGTAACATACCATTCAGTCTTCACAAGACATACAAAGAAGGCTGAGCCAAGATGGCGGAGTAAAAGTAGTGACTTGCTTGGGCTTTCCCCCAAACCCTTCCAAATACCTGTTTTAAAAAATGGCTCTAAACAAAAAGCCACATAAAGCCAATCCAGGGGTGCTTTTCCTCTTTATTTTACTTATGGGGAATTCTAGTGGCTCATTTTGCTAACTAACCCCCAGGAATGAAACAGGAAGTAGCCAGGTTAGAGTTTTGGCCCACAGTCCCCCAGGTCATCTTTGTAACCTTGAGGGTTTGGGTCCAGGTCACAAAAGAGATTAGACCCTGAGCCTGAAGACAGTCGGGGTTGGTGGCCTTCAATGTCATGTAACTCACCCTGTCATTCCCTACTGGGCTTTGGTCTTCTGCCTTCACTGGGATGATTGATCTGTGGATGGAGATGGGTGGAAGGAACTCAGACATTTCATCTCTATAAGCATAGTTATACCTTTCTAAGGGGGCATGACCCAAAGTTTTGTGCCATAACCCCGTTGCTTTTCATTCATTAAGATGGCCCCAATTGTACTCAGTTGCAGAGGGTTCCCATCTCCTGGGACAATGTCTATGTAGGGTACCCTAGATGAATCAGGCCCGGTGCTGTGACAGATTCTGAGGGCTTGCTGCCAGTTGGAGGAGGTGAGAGCTAAGCCAGGGTGGAAGCAGCAGGAAATGATTAGAGGGACCAGAGAGGGAGACAAGAGGCTTGGAGGAGCGTGATTCATAGCATAATACCTGGTTGTTCTCTGTACCTACATATTCTTATTTTCCAAATGGAAATAAAGGACAGTGCTAAAGCCAGGCTTGGGTGTGAAGAAGCTCAGTTTCAACCTGAGCTGGACCTTTCATTTTTCCCTATTTTTACCTATGATTTTATCATTGTTTAGACTATGAGATCATCAGAGTGGAGGTATCCCAGCATGGAAACTCCATTCACCAGTGCAGATTGACACTTGATCTTAGACAGTAGCCTGGGGCACTGAGAAGTGATTTGTCTAGGGTCTCACATTGTGTGTCAGAGGCAGGACTCTAATGCAGGGGTTTCTAACACCAAGACTGGCCTTCTATCTTGAGGCCACACTGTCCAGGCATCACTTTACCTCATTGAAACTCTTGATTTCAGTGGTTACTGGTTTAAATAGATAATTTAAGTAGATAATTAAATGGATAATGCTCATGGCCCACCACTGGGGCCCCTGGGAGCAGTGGGGGATGTGGTGCTTTCCTAGCCAGCCATCAGAAGGGAACCCACTTCCCTGGGAAGGAGGGTCTGGGTGTCATCTACTCGTGCCTTCAGCACTGGGTTGGGTGAATCGGTAACTGAGTTCTCTTGTTTTGAAGGTCTGCTGGGTTACTTAGGTTGGATTTTGTATTTTGTTTTAACAGACATTTATAGTCCTAAACAAAGGGCGGACTATCTTCCGGTTCAGTGCAACCCGGGCTTTGGGGCTCCTCAGTCCTTTCCATCCCCTCCGGAGAACTGCCATCAAAGTATCAGTCCACTCATATCCTTTCTGTCAGATATTTTTTTCCTTTAAGGAAAGTCAAGTGTGTCTGGGTCTTGGTGCCACCTGTATCTCTGCGTACTCTCGAAATGGAACACTGAGCTTGCCTCAAAAACAAAACAATCCTGCCGTGTTTTTTAAAAGAGAAGAATTAAAAAGGGAGAGTCGCTGATTCTACTGATCTGCAGCAAAGGGAGTTGCCATACCAGGAATTCCCTGCACTAATGAAATCACAGGTGCAGTCTAAAAACCCCAAGATGGAAACAGCCCATTTAATTAATAATAACTAGCATTTATAAAGCACCTACTATGTGCCAGGCACTGTGCAAGTGCTTTACAAATATTATCTCATTTGATCTTCAGAACCGTTGTGGGAGATAGGTTCTATTATTATACCCATTTTATAGATAAGAAAACTGAGGCAGACAGCTTGCCCAGGATGATATAATTAGCATCTGAGGCTGGATTTGAATTCAGGTCTTCCTGACTTTGGGCTCAGTGCCCTATGCACTGAGCTCCCTAACTGCTTTTGATATATATTCCTGTTTTTAATAACAGGCACTCATCTAGTTTGCAAGAATAATTATTCACAAAGGAAGCTCCCAAATGGCACAGTGGAGTGAGTTCTTCCCCCATTCACTTCTCTGGCTTTCCCAGAAACAGCTTCAGGCCAGTGCCCTAATAAAAATTTTGCTTGGGGGTGGGGCACGATGTTCAAATACAAAACTTAATGGTCACTTGATGTCCCAAGGGAATTAATTCATCTTAAATTTGACTATTCCTTCCTTACTTAGTTCATGGGTTTCTCCTAGCACTTTAAGAGCATATTTGCATAGTATTTATTGATCCGAGACCTCAGTGTCTCCATCTATAAAATAGGGATAATAATGGGACATGATGTGACTCACGTGACAGCATGTTCTAAATTCTCTGCAGATGTGAACGTGATATATATATATATATATATATATATATATATATATATATATATATGTATGTATATATGTCACTATTACTGTTATTGTTGTTGGTTTTTTATTTTAAATATTAGTAAGGTAAATACTTCTCTACATCAGTCAAATGGCCTTAAGAGATTCTTCCCCTCATTTTTGCTTTTGAGTGCCTGTTTCCTGACAGCAGAGTGAGTTCACTTGCATTCTGAAATCTAGCCCTGTCTCCTTGGAGTGTGGGTATGCTGAGGAAGGCTGCCTTTCTGGCCAAACACGTGTCCAGTGAAGGGAATTTCAGGCAGCATATCTAAAGGAAGTCTTCCAGGCCCTCCCTCCTTCCCAACACAACTGTTGGAGCTGTCCACTGGATCATAAACAAGCAAATTTGGAGAAGAGCCTCCAGGAAGTGGGCTTTCTGCCCCCACTGCGATCAGTCACATGTTCTCCTTAACAAATCCTCACCCTGTTCAGTTTCTTCATCATGATGACGATTATGGTCAACTGTGTTTTCATGACCCAGAGTGAAACTCCACCGACTGTTGAGTAAGTCATTTCCCTCTTTGGGCAGCAGCAGCAGCTTTTGTTTTCCTCTTATCTCCCCCTCCCCCACTCCCACTCCCCTTTCCCCACCCACTTCTCTGCCTGATGTTCTTTGGCTTTGCAGGTCTCTTGTCAATAATATAAATGAGGATTCTGGAAGACCCAGGTTCAAGCCTTTCCTCTGACACTCATTAGCTGTGTGAACAGTGATGTTACATAAACAACCTTTCTTAGGCTCCATTTTCTCTTGAGAGTAATGATTCTCTTTGGATGGTGGGTGGGGGTCTAGACCTGTGAGTTCATCCGTGTAGGGAAGTCCTGATGAGGGGACTGTCTACCAAGGCAGAGCAGCACCCATGCTGTAGTTTATATTCTTAGGGACATGTTCAGGGTAACACAGCCAGTATCCATCAAAGGCAAGACTTGAACCCAGGTCTTCCTCACTTTTGGGGTCTATCCCTAGGATCAAATGAGTTACTCTATTTAAAATGCTTTGCAAACCTTAAAGTGCTGTATCAATGTTAGCTATTTTTAATATTACACACTGCCTCTCATAATTATAATTGACTGAAGAAATGATAAAATATTTGCCCAAGTGTTTCCTTCTCTGTAAACTTCAAGAAGTAAATATACGAACAGTTTTCAGTCCATCTATACCTGCTTGCTTGGAGGCAGCTGAACCAAGCAACGGTGTACTTCTCTTCTGTTAGAAAACCACAAGTCTCTCCGAGACCCCCAACATCTGTGGGACAAAACCGAAGTCACGCATTGCTAGAACTAATCCAGAAGATAACTTCATAGCCACATATAATGAATATCTGTGCATATGTGTACATGTACATATGTGTATAAGGTATACACACATATTATGTATTCATATACATTATATGCATAAAACCAGCCCCATATATATACACGTGTATATCTGTCTGTGTGTGTATGTGTATACACACATTTACATATGTATGCATATATGTTTTAGAGTGACTGACAAGTTCTCAAGGCTGGTTAATTGGTGTGATGGAGATCTGCCCACCTCTCTTCCTCACTCACTAGTAAAGGACAGGCTTCCTACTCACATGCACATAAAGTCTATGGGGGCACAGTACCTTTCTCTCTCCAAAAAAATAGATCCTTGCTTTTCCTACCTTATAGGAATGCTCTGGCAGTCAAAGGAGTTAATGTACATGAAAGGATTCTTGGAAACTCTTTGACTCACTCATTCTTTAGCATTACATTATTTAGTTTCCAATTAAATTTTAATCTATCTTTTCACTGCCCTTTATTAAATTCATTTTATTACATCATGAACTGAAAAGGATGCATTTACTAGATCTGCCTTTTTGAATTTGGTTGTGAGGTTTTTATCCCCTAATGTACTGGCAATTTTTATGTAGGTGTCATCTACCACTGAAAAAAAGGTATATTCTATCCCCATTCAATTTTCTCCAGATGTCTACCACATCTAACTTTTCTAAAATTCTATTCACCTCTTGAATTTCTTTCTTGTTAATTTCTGGTTAGATTTATCTAGTTCTGAGAGGGGAAGGCTGAGGTCCCCCACTAGTATAGTTTTATTGTTTGTTTCCTCCTGTAAGTCATTTAACTTCTCCTTTAGAAATTTGGTGCATATATGTTTAGTATTGATACTATTTTGGTACCTTTTAGCGGGATGTAGTTTCCTTCCTTGTATCTTTTAATTAGATCTATTTTAGTTTTTGCTTTGTCTGAGATTAGGATTGCTATCCATGCTTTTTTATTTCATCTTAAGCATGTTATATTCTGCTCTAACCTTGTAACTTTACTCTGCGTGTCTCTTGCTTTTTCAAATGTGTTTCTTGTAAACAGCATATTGTAGAATTCTGGTTTTTAACCACTCTGCTATATGCTTTTGTTTTATGGGAGAGTTCATACCATTCACATTCACAGTTATGATTACTGTGCATTTCCCTTCACCTTATTTTCCCCCTGTTTAGTCTCTCTCTCTCTCTCTCTCTCTCTCTCTCTCTCTCTCTCTCTCTCTCTCTCTCTCAATGTTTGGCTTATGACCTACTCCCTCAATCTGCCCTCTCTTCTATCAGCCCCCACCCATTTTCTTTTCCCTTCCCCTCCTACTTTCCTGTACAGTAACATAGATATCTGTACCCAGCTGAGTGTGTATATTATTCTTTCTCTGAGCCAAATCTGATTCGAGTTAAGGTTCAAACAATGCTTACCCCTCTCCATTATTTTCCTCTACTGTAATAGGTCTTTTGCACATCTTCATGTGATATAATTTACCCCATTCTACCTCTCCCTTTCCTCTTCTCCCAGTAAATCTTCTTTTTCACCCCTTAATTTTTTTTATATCATCCTATCAAAATCTACTTATACCCACACCTTCTGTCTTTGTATACTCTTCCTAGTTGCCTTAATAGAGATACAGTTCTTAAGAGTCAGAAGCATTGCCTTCCAATGTAGGAATATAAACATTTTAAGCTCATTGAATAATGTTTTTTTCTGTCCTGTTTACCTTTTTATGTTTCTCTTAAGTCTTGTATTTGAACATTGAATTTTCTATTTAGCTCTGGTCTTTTCATCTGGAAAGCTTGAAAGTTTCAGACTTCATTGACTATCCCCCTGAAAGATTATGTTCAATTTTACTGGGTAGTTGATTCTTGATTGTAATCTAAGCTCCTTTGCCTTTCAGAATAGCATATTCCAAGCCTTCTGGTCCTTTAATGTAGAAACTGCTAAGTTCTGTGTAATGCTAATTGTGGCTCCTTGCTATTTGAATTGTTTCTTTCTGACTGCTTACAGTATTTTCTTCTTGACTCGATAATTCTGGAATTTGGCCATAATATTCCTAGGTGTTTTCATTTTGGGATCTCTTTTAGGAGGTGATTGTGGATTCCTTCAATTACTATTTTATCCTCTGGCTCTAGGATATCAGGGCAATTTTCCTTGATAATTTCTTGAAAGATGCTGTCCAGGCTCTTTTTTTTTTTGATCATGACTTTCAGGTAATTCAATAATTCTTAACTTATCTCTCTTGGATCTATTTTCCAGATCAGTTTTTTTTTCCAATGAGGCATTTTACATTTTCTTCCATTTTTTCATTCTTTTAATTTTGTTTGATTGATTCTTGAAGTCTCATAGAGTTATTAGCTTTCACTTCCCCGATTCTAATTTTTAAGGACTTATTTCCTTCAGTTAGCTTTTGTACCTCTTTTTCTATTTGGGCAATTCTACTTTTTAAGGAGCTCTTTTTCCAAGCTGTTAATTCTTTTTTCATGATTTTCTTGTATCACTCTCATTTCTTTTCCCAATTTTTCTTCTACCTCCCTCATTTGACTTTTAAAATCCTTTTTGAGTTCTTCCAAGAGGACTTTTGGGCTTGAGACCAGTTCATATTCCTCTTTGAGGCTTTGAATATAGGCAGTTTGACATTATCGTCCTCTTCTGAGATGGTGTTTTGATCTTCCCGATTGCTGCAATAGCTTTCTATGGTCAGGGCTTTTGTTTGTTTGTTTTGCTCATTTTCCAGCCTATTTTGTGACTTTTAAAGTTCAGCTCTGCTCTTGGGGTACAGGCAGCACTATCCCAAGTTTCTTGTGCTGGAGGCCAGGGGCCTAGTCACTGGCTTTCTGCCCCAGGCCCTCTGGGGCTAGTGGCTTGCCCACTGTGTCGGGGTGTCCCAGCCTCTAGCTTTTTGTGCCAGGGATTCCAAGTCTAGCATTTTGCCTTCTGCTCTGGGGCTGGAGGCCTAAAAGCTGGCCTACTGTGCTGCTGACCTGCTGAGTTAGGACCACGGGCCTCAGTTGCTGATCTATGCTGTGGCTAAGGGTCTCCCACTGGTTTGCCTGAATACCACCTGTGCTACATTGTGCTTCCCTTTTACCCAAGTGAGAAGACCTTTCCTGCTGTCCCTCTAAGTTATCTTGGACTGGAAAAATGTTTCACCCCATCTTTTTGTGGATTCTGTCACTCCAGAATTCATTTAGAGGCTTGATTTAACATTGTTTTGAGGGAAACTGTGGAGAACACAGACAATTTCCTGGCTTTTCTCCACCATCTTGGCTCTGCTCCCTTTGGAAACTCTTAAAATTTGAAATATAAAAAAAAATTAACATTTAAACAAACTCTCAGAGTAAATCAAAAGAACCACCAAATATGTAATAGTCACTATACTAATGAATGAGAGTGCAAAGGGAAAAAATGTGTATGTGTGTGTGTGTGTGTGTGTGTGTGTGTGTGTGTGTGTGTGTGTGTGTATGTCTGTGTCTGTGTGTAGTCTGCCCTCAGGGAGCTTACATTCTACTGGGCTTATATGGCTGGGCACGGAATTAATATAATAACCCACATTTCTGGCAGGTTGAGGTTTGCAAAGTGTTTTTCTCTCAATACCCTGTACAAGGTAGATAGCTTAAGTGGTACTATCCTTATTTAACAGGTGAGGAAAATTGAGGCTTTTAAAGTCAAGCCATACAGCCAGTAAGTAACTGAGGCAGGAATTTGACCTCAAGTCTCCTGATTCCAGGTCCAGGATGCTAACCACTACACCACATTACCTCTCTGAGAGCTAGGTCTTGGTTTTTCAGGTAATAACTGCAATGAAACTCACAAAAACAATCTAATTAGAGTTTTTATGATGTTTAAGGAGCCCTGGAAGTCACCCTGATGCTGATATAGTCAGTGAAGCCTCCTTAGCACATGTTGGGCTGCAAGGATCACACTGGGCATCTCCAAGGAGGAATGAAATTGTAGCTCCCAATGGCTAGCTCAGCTTAGCTAGTGAGGCCCCAAGGATGCAGTCTCTCTTAATATTCCTAATGAGATTCTTAAGTGATCTCTCTTCTGGCAAGGAAACCATTTTCTGTCTCTATCCTACTCTTACTTCTCTCCCTTCCTAGCTGGCTTGCTCACTAGACTTGCTACTTGGTAATGGTCTCTACCTAGAGACCTGAATATTTCCTTATGGGAAGAAATCAGAGCCATAACTATGGTGGAGTAGTAAGGGCTTT